GGGTGGGGAACTTTGCAGAACATGTGCCATGTTCTGCTTCACTCATTTTGTGGGTGCCGGTACTGGAGAATCTGTGATGCTATAGGGGGTAGTCACAGGGGTTGGGCCACCAGGGATTTGGGAAGCTCTGGTCCTGTCCTTGATGGCCTGTTTTTTTCTTTCATCTCTGGTCTTCTTGATCTTGCTTTTAGTTCTTTCGTGAATGGATTTGAAGCCTGTGCTTTTGCATCTGAGGAGGAGGAAGAGGAGCTTTCAGCATCTCAGGAGCTTCCAGCATCTCAGGCAGCAGCTCGGGAAGAAGATAAGCTGGAGGCAGTAAGGTGCTACATCCGTTCAAACACAGCCCTGTACCACAAGATTCTCTTTTATGAGCCAATTGAGCTGGCTGAGCTGCATGCAGAGCTGAAGCAGAATGGCATTAAAATTTCCAAGGCAAAGCTGCTTGACTTTTTAGATGCTCACTGTATCACATTTACCACGGCCGGAGCCCGGAAAGAGAAGGAACAGAAAAGAAAAGGGAACAAAAAACAGAGGAGACGGTACTGAATGGAGCCGACTCCTCCATCCTGAAAATTTTGTACGTGGAGGCCTTCCTGATAAGCTGGAAACCCCATTCCAGGCTGGTGCTAGCAGTGGTGCTGTGATCAGTGCGTGCACTGCTCCTCCTTGTGGCCTGCTGTCCAGATTACACACTGGAGAATGGGTCTGAACTGAGCTCCCGTTCCCAGCCCTCTGCTCCGAATTGCACAAATTTCTCCAATTGCTGTCCTGCCTTCAGCACACAGGTCATCTGGAGCCTCTTTCCCCCCCAATTTTCCCCCTGTGCCTTTTCTTTCTATTTTTCTAATAGGTTTTAGGTCCCCAAATTTTCTTCATGTTGGTGCTTTTAAAGGCAAGTGCTTCCCCCAGTGACACTTGCCAAGACCTTTTCCTTGCCCTTGGGCTGTGAAACGCTTCACCCTTCAAGTTCCAGTATTCAGTAGAATAAGCCACCTGCAAGAAACCAGTCCCCTTTCCCCTGTGTAAAGCACTGAGTGTTTAGACCCCAGTGACTTCTGTCTTCATTTCTTCAGCATACAATCTGCCCTGCTGATTGTTAAGGCAGGGAGCATTGTGGAAATCCAATGCCTTTCTTCTGTCCCTGGTTCAATTTGCAATCTCTGGTAAAACTCCTGAATCTGTGTTTCTTAAATGGCTGCAAAACAGTGGAGGTGGTTTTGTAGTCTCTTTGTGATGGCTCCCAAATTGCCCTCTGACACCAGATGTCATGTGAAAGCCCTTTAGATTCGAACATTCAGTTGTGTATGTTCACTTGCATGCTGGATCTGTGTTAAGGATACCATTTGCTCCATTTTCTGAGTGCTGTTTTACCTTGTCAGTGTAGCTTGAGTATGTCCTCGACAGAGATGTTTTTAAGAAGACAGTATTGTAGTGACCACTGGATCTCTTCAGCACTTCTTATAACCTGATCTAAATGCGCTTCTCTGATCCTTTCCAAACTCGACTGATCTTAGGTTGTAAACTGTCTGGGACTCTTGGGGTAGTCTTGGACCCTAAATTGTCATCTTTTAGGCATTTACTTTCACATCTTCTGACTTTTGTCTGTTGTGGTAGTTCCGAGTCTGCAAAGAGTCTCACTGAACAAAATGTTCGCAACACTTCAAAAAAAGAAGCTGGATTTCTAAACTTATTTATATATTTATAAGTATTTTTTCTATTTTTGATACAGTATATCTTTGGGTTTATTTGATTTATATTATATACAATAAACAATTCGTAAGGTACTAATGATAAACTATAAAGCAGTGTCTTACAATAGACTTGGGGGGCGGTTCTAAGTGGCAAGGTTGGGTCTCGTTGAGAGCAGTAGAGTCCGCAGTCTGTGCCTGTACTGGCTGAAACCTTGAGCGGAGAAATGGAGGAAGAGGCGTTGGCACGGGCGCCCAGCAGCAAGGAGAGGTGGAATGGGAGAGATCACTCTGCAGCGGTTGATTAATTGGCTGCCTGGAGAGAGACGAGCTGCCTGCTTCATCTGGGCTGTGCAGCCCAAAGGTAAGGGAGACTTGGGGGGAAGGTGTTGGGGTCTGCCGGGAGGACAGGCTGTGGGGAAGGGTCCAGTCTGGCCTCAGAGGGGAGGGCTGCTGGTGAAGGGGAACTGGGTGACCACTTATGAACCTCCTCTGTCAGGTGTCACTGTGGCATGTATAATGGTGGGGGGGCCTCCTAGCAAAGCCTTCTGCCATGTCTGGTGAATTTTAAGGAATTTGGGACAGTTTTCTTCCCTGGTAGTCACATCACTTTTCCTCCTCCAACTTCTTGTGCAAGAGCTGCCAGAAGATGACTTTGTTACCTGAAAAGGACAAGACTTGCCTTAAGTGGCATTCTAGGAAATGTTGTTTCCTTCAGTGTACCGTGTATTTCTCTCTCAAGTACACGCTTCATACATGGAAAAAGCTTCCGTCCTACTTACCAGTCTTAATATGGGAAAATAAATAAAATCCCTTCCCAGTTTTTTTGCTCTGTTTTTAGGTAAGACATATTTACGATCAAGGGTTTTGTAATCAATTCTTTATTACACCTTAATCTTCAATGAATGCAGTGTCACAGTTCAGTGAATATAAATTACAATCATTCAAATAGCATTGTGTCATAAAAAACTGTTTAGCATGTTATGAAAAAAATCTGAATTTTAGTCTCCATCCTCCTACCTTTGTCATCCTTAAACCTTGCAACTGGGCAGTCTTTGCCTAGTGCAGAAAGATGATTTTAAGTATCACGTCTGTGCTGTCAGGGTTTGGAGGTGACCGCTTTGCAGAGGCTTGCCTCAATGCTTCCTTGTTGCAGAAGATGACAAAATGAAATGTCTCTTGTAATTCTAAAACTTTTCTCAGATGATGAGAAAATAATTTAAAATATTTTACAGCCTTCAAGACCACAAGGACATATGTGACACATTGCAAATTATCTGAAAGCAATTATTCATTTGCCTGCTTCATTAATCCGTAAGCAAAGCGTGCCTCCCTCAGCTAACACTAGTGTTGCCATCTGCCAGTGATAATGTGTTGCCAAACAGTTCAATTTGTATGTATTTCTGTGTTTTCATACCTTCCTAATGCAGGCTCATTTGTCTTGGAAAATACATTGTCATGATTTTTTATTTCCAACTGTGTAGTAACAGCTATCAAAAACATTTTGATACTTCTGTTTGTTTTAACACTTCTAAGGCTTCAGAAAAAAAATACCTTTTCAACTAAGAAATTAGTTGGTTTTTTAAAGTTAAAGAAAGGAGCAGATATGTTACTAGCATTGCACAAAGCTTCTGTCTTACCAAGATGCGCCATGTGAGCTCTGAGTGAGCTTTGGAAAACACTGTTTCTAAACTCGCTGTTAACAAATGACAAACAAATTGATCATGGATACTCCTCTGCAGCTACCACCATGTTGGTTTGTGTATTGTCACATTTCCTGCCTGAAAAAATAGCCTCAATAGGTTTATTCTGAAAAGCTGTGCTGCAGATGTTTACATAATAATCTTGCATGTGAGAAGAGAGCTGTTTTCTTATACAGGCACAGTTCTGTGTGTACACTTATTCCAGAAGTTGCCCTGTCTAAATAGCATTTCTTGAGTGGGTGCGATCCATCACCGTGGTCTCTGCCATGGCCAAGACCCACGGAGGGGCCAATTTAACTACAAAATATGAGAATGCTGTAATAAAGTGCAGAGTGGTGACTGCTGTGCCTTCCCATTCTACTAGGCCAACAGAGCCCAGGTATTATGCTTCCAGTGTCAGTGTTTAGATATTGAAGGGATAAATGTGAGCGCAATCCTTCCTGCAGTTCTTGAAGGGGACTGGAGCTGTTCTGGAAGTGCCTTTGAAACACACTTGTTAGCTTTTCAGATCACTCCAGCATAAAATTTCTTTCAGAGGCATTGCATATAAGCTGCTTGTTGTTTAATGAGACACAAAGTGTCTGAGAGAGGTGATGCAGCCTTCAGCAAAGACATCTCTGTGACTCAGTTGCTGTCCCCCAGAACAGGGTTTGCAAGAGTGCTCTGCCCAGGTTCCTTGCCTTTCCAGCTGCTCTACTGCCCAGGCACTCATCTTGTAAGCTTAGATTACCAAGGAATGAGTTCTCACTGAGGATTTAGGAGACTGCTAAGGATTTAAGCTCGTGCCTAAGCCCAGCGCAAGCCCGCTCCTCCTTTCCCAAGGCCGAAGGCCCTGTCTCCGCTCTTGGGACCTAGGAGGCTCCAGCAGCCCGACGGTGCCCCCGGTATGTCCTCACTTCTTGGAAGGGCACCGAGCCCATGTACAGATTTCCAGAGGTCTGCTTTGGTGTCCTCTAGATACTTCTTTCTTAGAAAGCGCTGGCTGCTATCCTGTCTTCTTCACTGAGTTTCTGCGACGAAGGGTCCATGTTGCCCCCCGAGGTGGGCATTTGCTGTCTGCCTGACAGGGATGAGCCTGCCCAGAGCCGCAGAGCTGAAGCCTTGCCTCCCACAGGTACCCCGAGAGAAACCCTTCGCCTGCGGGGAGAGCCTGGCGCAGCGACAGCGTCTCATCCAGCACCGGATAACCCTCACGGGAGAGGCCCTACGCGTGCGGAGAGAGCTTCAGCGTGAGCGCGGAGCGGATCCGGCAGCAGGTAACCCACCCGAGGGGGAGAGGCCCTGCGGCTGCCCGCGCGGGGGGAGGGCGGGCCTCGGCCGAGCCCCGCCTGCCAGAAAGGCCCGGTTTGGCCGGCGGGACGGCCGCGGAGCTCGGCCGCGGGATGGGACCGGCGCCATCCCGGCCTTCGGTGCCGCCATTTTCGGTCGC